CCTAGAACTCGACGCCTAACCTCCATGTTGCTCACCTTATTATGCCACTTTACACGGGAAATAGAACGCAGGCACCTATGATCAAAGACAGCTAGCCTTTTCATGTCTTCCACTCTCAGTGGCCAGGTCTCACAACCATAAAGGAGGACGGAGCGGACTGATGAGCAGTACACCCGCCCTTTGGTCGATAGTCGAACATCTCGTCTACGCCAGAGTCGGCGTAAACTGGCAAATGCGAAACGAGCCCCCTGTATTCGTGCTGAGATTTCGTCAGAGATCAACTCGTTGGGGGCTGATGGTACTTCCCAAATAAGTGAAGCGGTCAACGTGCTCTACCACTTCACTTCCTATTTTTAAACTAGGCGTCGATGTAGTCCAGTCCTGTAACATCATCTTGCATTTGGCGGGAGCGAATCGCATGCCAAACATTCGTAGATTGCGGCTCAAGGTGTTTAGAAGACTCTGCATTTCGTCAGCGTCTTCGCCTAGAAGGACTATATCGTCTGCATATTCCAAGTCAACGAGATTATTCCCGGTAGCAAGTCAATTCCTGAGTCACTGAAGTCACCTAGGGTTAAGTCCATTAACACATCTATGATGAAGTTGAATAGAAAAGGAGATAATGGGCATCCTTGACGGACACCACTGGTCGTCATCAGTTCAGATGACAGCTCGCCGTAAGCCCTCACCTGGCTGTATGAGTACGAATAGAGTGCCTTAATCAGTGCAATATATTTTCTTGGAATTCCCTTTACAGCCAAGCATCTCCAGAGAACTTCCCGATCGACAGAGTCGAATGCTGCCTTTAGGTCAAGAAATATAATGACTGTTGGACGCCGGTAGGAATGACTATGTTCTAGAATCTGTCGGAGGGTGAAGATATGATCAATACACCCTCTTCCTGGTCTAAAGCCTGCCTGGCTCTCTCGTGTTTGTGCTCCCGAGCACCACTCAGTCTACGCATGATTATTGAGCCTAAGACTTTAGATACTATATTAGTCAAGCTAATCCCTCTGTGATTATCACAGGAAGACTTGTCTCCCTTCTTGTATATGGGGATAATCAGTGACTTACACCAACCCGATGGGACTTCTCTGATTCCCAGACGCTGCCTAGTACCTCAGTTAATCCGGACAGTAAGCTGTCTCCACCGTACTTAAATACCTCTGCGTGGCTCAGATCACTGTATACAGTATGTCGTCTATGTATCTATAGTAGACCATTGTTTCACCACTTAACACGACAGTAAGAAAGATACATAATGTGGTATAACAATACGAAATAAACAAGCATTCTCATAGATTACATTCAATAAAAAAATTTCACATCTCATATTCCTTTCAATAATAGAAGAAAGAGAAACGTTACAGGATGATCACTACGGTTGTTGATTCTAAACCGTATCTGATAGCACCATCAGCCTTTGAGTCACGTGATCTCTAGAACTAGACACAAGGCGTCATAATCCTCCAACAGATGCTAGTGAGGTTTGAGCTGACTATACATTCACCTTTCTGAACTAGCCGCTGGACTTACCACATAAATAGTTAAATTTCATCAAAGGGTGTTTTTTTCCTTCACGTTCCCAGTGGAACATAGGGCCTTAATCTAGTGGCTTGAAGTTTCTGTGGCAGTGTTTATTTTTACAGGATGGGGTTGCTAGCCTCATGTCCAACCTTTCCTCCTTACCAGCATTATTTCTGGCTTAGCGAGGTAAAGGAGTGAGTCGGCCAGGGGTCGAACCCTGGACCATGTGTATGGTCGGCGAGCGTCCCAACCGCTATGCCACCGATGCACTAATCAAAGGGTGTAACGTTTTGATAATTAAATCACTACCATTTATTGGTTGAAACCTTCAAATTAAAAGCTACTAATATTCGGTAATTAACAAAACATGTTTCTGTCCTATTCATCTTATAAGGATATGAATTAGTGACGTATAACTATTCAATCCTTATCTATTTATAGTATTTGTACAGTTTTATAGAAAGTTGGACTAGAAATTCTTTTTGTAAATGGATAATAGATTCTTGCATTTGTATTGTAAGCTCCAACCATTCACTTATTACATCCTCCTTTTATTTATTCTTGACAGTATTTCAACAGCTGAGAATAAGAGTTTTTATGTAAATAAAAATTTTAGGTTAACCATATTCCAAAACGAAGCAGTAATTAATTAATCAATTATTTAGGTCGTTTTTAAAGAAAGTAGTTCACTGATTGCAATAGATTGGATAGTGAGAGAGACAACGGGAAATGAGGAAACAGGCATAAAATGAACCTCCACGAAAAACTTGGAGGATCTGGACTTCGCCGATGATATATGTCTGATTTCCCACTAATTGGAAGATATGCAAGTGAAAAGCAACAAGCTGGCAGAAGAAGCATCTAGAGAAGATAGGACTTCCTTCAGGTGAACATAGATAAAACAGAGGTGATGAAGATTCCTGGCCAACAGCCACAGCAACAACAGACAACAATCAGCCGGCATAAATGGGAGGAACCTGAATGAAACAACCTCCTTCACCTACCTACCAGGGGAGCATCGTTTCAACTACAGGTGGAGATTACGAGGATATCAAAGCCAGAATCGGAAAGGCAAGACAAGCTTTCATTACTCACGTCGTCTGTGTGGAGGTCAACAGCACTCAGAATCAAAAATAAGATCCGGATTTCCAACTCGAATGTGAAGTCAGTGCCACTTACTATACGGATCAGAGACTTGGCCAGCGCATCATAAAGAGCATCTCAAACAAACTTCACACCTTCATCAACAGCTGTCTTCGCTCAATACTCGAGATCAGATGGCCAGAAAAGATCAGAAACAGGGATCTCTGGGAATGACCGAACAAACCAGGAACCGATTGTGAAACAAATAGGCAGGAAGAAATGGAGATGGATTGGCTGGTCATAGTCTGAGGAAACCATCAAGTGACATCACTAGACAAGCCGTGGCTCGAGCGGAATCCGAAAGGGAAGCGGTGAGTTGGCCGTTAGTGCCAGAGTGACTTGGAGTGGATCATGTGAAGAGGAGATGAAAGTGTGTTTGCAGACTTGGAACGGGTGAAGACGTTGGCAGAAAACAGAAGGCAATGGAGACACGCAGCTGAAGCCCTATGTTCCTCTAGGAATAATAGGATATGATAATAATAATAAGTTCGCTCACTCAGTTGAAAGATGACTACGCTACATTGATCGGTGGTAGATGAAAACTTGGACTGTGATAATCTGGTCACTGGATGACCTAATAGTCGGCAACTTGATTCGCCAAAGAGGCGTGGTGCTGATGATTCATAAACTGAAATAAAGGCTCAATTCAGTGCACCTTTGTTTTCAATGTTTTTGCAATTGATTTCTATATGTGATGGAAATTACTTCGAAACAACTTCCTTATTAGCTCCTATTCATTTTCCTAAGCTTTATTTAACACTGATAACCAGTTGTTATTATTTTATTAAATTCAGCTATCCTGCTAAATTCAATCGTCTATTCACTGATCATCCTGTAATGGAGAATTTATATGAATTTGGGAATACATTTCTGTCAGTAATAAGATCTTTACTTTTAAAATTTTACAAAACTTCAGTAAGTTGCTTTCAATGAATTACATGAATTTTATTAATTTCTGTTGATAAATATGCACGACATAATTATGAGAATACATTCCAATACTGACAACCCATATGCTCTGGTGGTTCAGTGATAGAATGCTCACCGCCTGTGCACGTGGTCGGACGTTCGTTGCCTGGCCGACGCACTTTTAAACCTCACCAGCTTACTACCCGGTAGAAAGTCAGGTAAAGACAGGAGGCTGGGTGTTAGGCTAGCAACTTCACCCCGTAGAAAAATACCACTGCCACTGAAACTTCAAAACTCAGGCTTGAAGCCGTATGTTCTACTTGAAACGCAAAGGAATAAAATAATAACTGAAGACTCATAAGGCGGGTAAAAAAATACAAATTTTTCTTCAGTGATATCTTCTCAGTGCGACAACTGAATCTTTTGATAAGCTGTTTGCTCATAAAATAACTGTAATTCTTTCAGTGGTTTCAGTACAGACCACTTCTTCCCCTTAAATGACTTTCGGTTTGCTTATAACCCCAATCAAACATATTTGAAATATTTCTTTTCTCCACTTCCTTGTCAAATACACATATTTACTTATACAGAAATGATGAGTAGTATTTACTTTTAGACAACTTGTTTTCTACTGTGCTAATCAACTACTCCGACTAATAAATTGGATTAAATGTTTCTTCGCTTCAGTGGATTTAGAATTATGACTCGTTAGTCTAAGTTTTCAAGTACTGCTCATCCAGTCAGTTCTTCAAGGACATTTTACTTCGATGTTTTTCAATCGGCTTGTTGTATAAATACCCAAAAACAAACAGTTTCTACATGTCATAGCTCTCTTTATCCATCTGTGCGTCAATGCTGAGTCGTTTTCTTGCTTAAATTAGTGAAAAATGTAAAGCACTATGTGAGTTTATACTCGTTCTAGAGGACTGCTTGTAACAACAGAAGACAAGGGCCAGGCAACAGATCGTTTTATTAAGGAAATCAGCACGTATTTATATATATTTCATGTACATTATTATAGCTTATTCAAGCAGACAAACACAGTCTTCTGATTGGCTGTTTCTTGCTCAGGGTTATTCTGTACTACTTGTGACTGGTTTCTCAGAAAGTTAAGCCATACATCTGCGAATCGTATTTGCCCATGTTAAGTCTGCTGTGATTGGTTGTTGAATCAGTCTGGTTCATATTTTCTCACGGCCAATATCAGCGACCTAGACATTGACGTAAATTATTGTCTACCAATTGGCTAGCAGCCCGCTCTGACCACATGCTTACCTGAAAAAACTGGTCAAATTAAGGGTTTTTGTCTGTTAAAGTAAATGTTCCTATTTGAAGTTAGAAAGTACTTTATTTTCGAGACTTGTCTTATTTTTCTCACCAAATATTCTCTTTTTCTTACTTTAAAAAAATTAAAATTTTAGAAGACCGACAATCATCCATCAGTTTGCAAATCATTTAATACGACTGACTTTTTGCGAGAATATGTATATTCAGCAGCATGTGTGATTGGAGAGCGTCATCTTCTTGAAGTTGAACGCGCCTTCATTGCATTGAATGACAAGGGTCGACAAGCTCATCTTAGTCGAAAAATGGGATTTAATTGCACCACTTCTGATATACATCGTGCACCAAATTATTCCTCCAAATTTCGTGGTAAGTTATACAGGAAATTGTAATTATAATCCAATTCTGTGTTTATAGTATCACAACAAAGTCATCAGTTGAATTTCTAATTTGTTTGTTACTTTTTGTTTATTTTGTGCTTGGGAATGATAATTAATACTTATGAGTTATGCAACGTTTGTTTATTCCGGTGTCTACTGCTGAAGGGAAAATAAAAATTTAAAAATCCTCATCGAGTCATATAAAATAAGAGGCATTCAGGGAAGTACTAACAAGCTGTACATCGGATATGTGTGCAGTAAATTTTCTGAACAAAAAAGTGAATGTTTTTTTTAAAGATATATCAACAGATTTGTAAGTCTTAAATGGCACTTACGTAATTCAGTAAGCATTAATCGGGTAGAAACTAGAATGAAATTTGATAAGAGAATTGCGTGATGTAATATAATTGTTGGAAGTGAGCAAAACTCAATTAAGATTGAAAGAAAGTGTAATAGAGGGGGAGGGGAGAAATATAATAAAATCAAAACATTAAAACATATGGTTTAACAAAAACTACGTATCCAATGTTAAGACAAATTAAATCCACTTTAGGTTCATTGAATGAACAAACTTCTATATTCAGAATTCAAGATTTCACATGTGGATTGCTACTGCTTCTGCTACTTGAAGAGTTTTCATCTGTGCTATTTTAACAAGATTTCCCTGTAACCTCTAGATAACTATGAAGTTAGTCCGCTAATTCACTCGGTGTCCAGATTCGATCAGGTGTTCCAAAAATAGCTGTGGGAGGATTTTTTTCTCATTTGTAAAACCATGAAGATAAGCGTTCAGTGACATGTGTGGATGGAAAAAACCGCGTATAGCCGATATACCTAACTGCACAGGAGCAGATGAACTGATAGATACGCCTTAATGAGGCCAGCGGTGGTAGTTTATCTTTCGCGTTCGTTAAAATCATTGGCTTTGTAGATATAGGGAGTCGAAGTGCAGCTGTGAAAAAGATTTTCTTCGGTTATCGGGACAAGTGGTTTCCTGGTATTTCTGCCTATCCGTATCCACTGAATTGTAGACTCAGATAGAGAAGTTTATCGGGGGCAAAAGTGTGTGTGTGTGTTTTCCATGTCTTAATATCATTATGTAAACTGATTCGTATTGTCATTTCAGTTCTCATGGATTTATATTCCTCGTGATCTGAAAGCAAACAAAACTAACATCTTTGAATTGAAGTATAAATGTCTTCCACATTCTTGTTATTCACCATAACTCGATGTGTATCTTTGGAGAAAATTCTGAATTTAAAAATACTAGTCACTGATTTGCAGTATATATTGAATTCTATTCAAGAAAGTTATCATGTGTTTATAATCAACACCCTCACCAATTATTTGATGGACTCTATATATCATATCTATTCATTTGAATTTCGGGATATGCATCTAGAAGATAATCACCAACAAATCATGAATGACATTGGATAAAGGTAATATGCCAGGAATCCACTGTACTGAAAATATGCGGACTGCTGGGTTAAAGCCAAGTAGCGGGTGAGTGAAATCACCGCTCCGTAACCTAATCGTTTTGACTTCGAATCCCCAGTGTAACTAATGTTCCCTACTAGACAATCAGTCTTTTACTTTATTATTGATCATCCTGAATGTTTTACACTGTTAACTTAGTTTTCAGTCAGTATCTAATTTTCTCTTATTTTAATCCAAGGTTGTGATGGAGGTGTTCTGTTGATCACTGGATCTCCTGGCAGTGGTAAAACAACATATTTATCCGCCTTGGCACTTTCTCTAACCGAAACAGATTGGTATCCACCTCTTTCTGTGGGTTCAACACAGTTGTTTAGGTCTAGCCGAAAGGAACACTCAGTGAAATTGAGAAAAGATGTGGCTAGTGGAATTAGATTTGCTTCTCAGCGTCCAGTACTTGCCAAACATCATATATTTATACATTTCTGTGGCGGTTTAGCAGTCACTTGTTTACCACCGAAGAGGTCATTAATTGTTATGCTTAAAAAATGGACAAGTCGTCTTCTTACTGAACTTAAAGACTTATGCGCGTCTAGTGAAGCAGCTACAAAATTACTGAATGAAATTGAGTTGTCCATTAAAATGTCAACTTCTTCAACAAATATGAATACATCATCTTCTGATTCACCATCAATGTGAGTTAAATATATTTTTCTTCTAATTAAGTTGAATAAGAAAGACTTTAAAGTCTAACTGTATTAATTATTATTTCTCTGATGTCTTTTTTACATTGGTCTCAGATCAACAATTCAGTGCTTTACACGAATCATCAACTTTATTGGTTATTTACAGAAGTTACGTTTCGTGTTTCTAATCGATGACTGTCATCTACTGCAGCCGATGACTTTCGAATGGTTGCCTATGGTACTGCCTAAGGTAATTTTTGTAGCGATATGTCGATAAATTTTCATCAAAGATTGATACATATAGTTTTCCTTTGGTCTGTTAGCCTTTTGCTTGCTTTACTTCTTCATGGACTTCACATTTTCAATAAAATTATACAATGTATTTGCAGTTCACTGGAAGGCTCGAATTTGTTTTCCCTCTGACGCACTCCTAAACCTCACCTAACCAGTGGTCAGTCTGATAAGGGAGGAAGGTTGGGTGTAATGCTAGCAACCACTTTTTGTAAAACAAAAACACTGCAACTGAAACTTCAAAGCTTCAAGCCCAAAGTCTGGTGTTCCACCCAGAACACAAACGAATTAAAAGAAAAATGTCACATTTTCTTTTGAAGCAGTTTGGATTATTTTTAATGAATACGTACGTTTCTTTTATATTTCTGGAAAAAATAAACAGTGCTTTTACAAGGACGTGAAATAACATCTTATGCTGTTTAGTAGTGCGAATGTTCATTCCTCTCCCACCATCTATTAAATGATTGAGAAAAAAATCACTATATATTTTCTGTAGTTTGGTTTGTAAGGGTTAGTTATGTTTTTACGAGTTGATCACGGATTGATATCAGTTAAAGAACCATTGAAAACCAGGGAGTACTGGACAGCTGATGTTTCATCCTAGTTTGGGAATCATCGCCAGTACGTACCCACTGCCATGGTTGGAACCCAGGACCTTACGGTTACAAGGAAAGCTCGTATACCATTCAGCCACTGGGACCCAATTCAATGGCCAGTGCATGAACTCTCCATTCTACCTATTCGTGATTTAGCGCGACCCCAACCATTGTCGTTGGTGGGACATCCATCCACACACGGGACATCTAATTGAACCTCACTGGTCACGACTTCTCAGGAAACTCCAACCTGTAGTAAGTCACTAGCGTTCATCAGATGATTTTCTATAGTTTGGTTTTTAAGGGTTAGTTACGTTTTTACAAGTTGATCACGGATGGATATCAGTTAGAGAACCATTGAAAATCAAGGAGTACTGGACAGCTGCTGTTTCATATATATTTGAAGAAACAGAAGAGAAGGCTATTTAATTTTCAGAATTTTTGTGTAGTGTTAATTCAAAAATTTAATGTAACTATGGTTTGTGTATATTTAGAATTATCATTTTTCACCCCATGTAAACAACTACTCGATACTGCCTTAGATCTCTTTTTGTAATATATATTATTTGCTTCAGAATGGCTAATAGTAAAATCTAACACTGATGTTTCTTTCTAGTTAAAACTTATCAAGTTGATTTCAATTACTGTTAAGCAAATAAAATTTTCTTTTTTAATGCTTTAATCAGGTTATATGGAAATTTGGAAATGTTTGTCAACTTGAACTTGCGAAAGGCAACTTCATGTGAACGTTGTAGCATGAAAAGCCGAAATTTCTATACTTAACTATGAATTTTGAAGTTTTACATTCATTTGAAAAAATACATCATATCAGATCAGATCTCCTTATGTATTCCGATATAGCAGTGTTCTGCTCCAAAAAGTGTAATATGATATCAAATGTACTGGGTTTACACATAAATCGTCATTATAATAGAAGAATAACATATTTATTAGTTCACTATTTAAGCATTGTTTTACTTCTTTCTGAAACCCATACAAATTATTCTCCATAGAAAAGTCGAAAATGACCAAATCAGAATGTCGCATCAATACATAGTCTGTATTATTGGTGTATTAAGAAATCTTGCCTGGCAAGTGGTGATTTCATCAGAAATCGATATCACTAGTACCAAAGCATCCGCTGTTTCTCATCTTTGAAATTCTGAACATCATTTTCTATAACCTCCATGGAAAATTTTTTCCTCTCTACCTATATCCATATTGCCTTAGTTTAATATTGTTATAGTTTTAATTTTATCCTATCTATGTTGCTGTAATGTCTGACAGCTTGAATTGCTACACTTCTCTATTACTCGTAAAGTTTATTAATTTTTCACCTTTCATAATACAAAGAACGTTGTGATTTACCAATATGCATTATGTAAAACCAAAAGGCACACGTAAAGTTTAGGGAAAGTGTATTATCAAAACAGTTAAATTCAAAAAAGGAGGAATCACAACAGACTGTATCCCGTCAACCAATCCGTAGTTGGATAAACAAAATAAATGTTCAATCACAAAATGAAAGGATCAAGTCCCTAAATGTCTCATTGTAGCTTACTTTAAAAGATTATATGCCCATTCTCTCGTGAAAGTTTAAATGACCAACTCGGTTATATCTTGCTCACGGTGATAATTTGTTTTTTGATAGAATTTACAAATTGAGATGTTAATAGACTCTACTTTTCGCATATGCTTTGGTTCGAATTCAGATAGTTGATAATATGAGTCTCCACATTTCATTTCAGTAGATAAATTTTCTGGCGAAATAAAATGAACCTGTCTACTAAAGTAGTGAATTGCTTCACTTAGAATCCACATAATAAACATGGATTATAGAATATCTTCAACTGCATACATCACTTTCTAGTGATCAACTGATTTCTTAAACATTATTTGCCTATGTACTTATTAGTCGATATTCGTAATCTATTAAATTGATTGTAACCAGTCGAAGATAAATTTCATGGTTCGTTGATGTTAAGTATTTTACAAACTGGTCTCATTAATTTGTTCGAAGATATTTAACGCGTACAACTTGTTTATAACATTTGTTGACAATATTTTCTGTTATTGATACCTAATGGTTCTACTTCTCTGATTTCTTTCCTTTTTCAGAAGTTATTACTTCACGTATAATATTATTTTATGTTATAATCTGTCTTGATTCCTTTTAGAATGTTCGATTTGTGTTGACTTGTGATTCAAAGTCTCCTGTTGCTAGAAGTTTATCCTCAAGAGTTGATTGTCTCCTCTTACCTGTATATGGATTAACAACAAATGAACGTTGCGTAGCAGTGCGAAGTTTACTTGCACGATATGGAAAAGTTCTGAATGAATCTGGTTTTCAAAATCAGGTATATCGTTTGTTTTTCTTTTCAACCATATTCTTAAACAAATGTTTCAGTGTTCATGTTTAAATCTGGTTTTCACTCGCTTGACAGTATAAGAAGCTTATGTGACACATTCTTGTGTAGAAATACATACGTTTATTATTGTTTCTAGTTTGAAAAATGCCTATGTGATATACGGTTTAGGGTCTTCCTTGTGTATAGCAAAAGCTTCTGTCATCAAAATAAGTTGTAACCGGAATCCTGTCGAAGGACTTGGCCTTAACTTATGTATTGATTTGAAAGATTTCTCTGTTGGTGCGAAATTATATCTATGAATAAGGTGCAAAAGAATCGAGCTGTTGGTTCTTCTAACCATATTAGTAGGTGTTCTTGTGTACGTCTAGGTAATATCCTACTGGTATGACTTATGTACTTAGCTCCGCAAAAGCAGGTGAATTGACATATACAATTGGAATTTCCAACCAGTGGAACATTTTGACAAGTAAGGGGCTGTGTGAATATTAAGTGTATGGATGCAGTAAAGAACTTTTTTGGACTAATCTCGATAAACTGCTTCAAAGAATTTCAAATGATGTTCCACTTGTGAATTTTAAGTTGACAGCTAACTTGTTCTTTAGTACTTCTGTCTTTCGTGATGTGTCAGTCTTGTTTTCCGTAGGTCTATTGACAAATATCAGTGGATAACAACACTAAATCAGAGTGTTTCTGAGGAACTCCACTTCTTCGTCTAATGTGTTTTGCTTGCCTATGCAATAGGTTCTTATGAGAAGAGATTTGACTAGCTTTCCTTTCCTGCTTACCGGGACAAAGCTGTAGAATCTGACCAGCTACTCACTACATTTCGGTTTGTAGTGAATCGATCTGTGTATGGATCCGTTAATTCTCTTCTGAAGCCGAATACCAAAGAAGGTGAGTCTTCCTTCTGACTTAACTTTTAGAGTAAAACCAATTATTCGATGCACATTATTAAACGCTTCAAGAATTTTGTTTAAATCAACATTTTCATTAACAGTGATACAGATATCTTCCACGTACCTCTTACGAATTGTGAACTGATTTATAGATTGTTGCACAGTACTCGATTCCAGGTGTATCATTCAACAGTCAGCAATTAATGAGCCAGGCGGAGACTCCATGGCTGTGCCATTCTTCTGTTGATGGGTTTCACCATCAGATAGAAGTTGGACATATATATACTTCTGGGTTTAATGTGTCTTGACTTCATGTGATCATTATAGTGATCCTGTATCCTGAATATTTTCATGTTAGTACTTTTAATCTGATTCTATCTGTATATTTTCTTCTTTACATATTAGATAGCCGAGTAATCTTATTCCAGTATTGGATTACCTCATGAATGTATTAATATTATGTTTGATAATTATTCCTTTTTGTGACTTTTGCTAGAATTTGTATCGAAACTATGTGAAATATCGCATTCTGTCTCTCATTTACCCGTCCTCTTGTTTTATTCACAGTTATCAATGTTGGTTCGTAAACGTGATGCCGATATTCCACTTTATTTGAAACTTGCTTGTGAAGAGTTGCGTTTATTTGGTAATTTTGAACAGGTGAGCTCAATTTGAAATTATAAAGAAAATTTGTGTATGAAGTGGATGTTTTTCATTTTGCTGTGTTTTTTAAGCTGGATGGTTTTGGCGCACTTATTTGTCCCGGAAGAACATCTAAATGTAATGTTCTGAATTTATAACTTAATAAATTTCCATAATCATTTTTAAACATTAATCTGGCTTCTATTTTATGACCGTCTATTTGATGCAGCCTTTTCGAAAAATAATCGTTGTAATAGTAGTGAAGAACTTGCCATTTAGAAGCCTTCAACTGCATCATGCATTCTGAAACATAACATACCCAAATAAACAATTAGGTGACACAAATTGATCTATGCTTAGTCGTGTTTAGGCCCTTATCGTACACAGTGTCATTACTTTTAGGATCGCCTTTTAATGGATGTATTAAATATGATAGTCACTGTATAAGAATAAGCAATTTTCTGAACGAACTTTGCGTGCGGTGGAAACAAACGGTATGAAGAATGCACATTTATTTCTGTTTGTCAGTATTAAAAAAGAGCCGTAATTTAATTTCTGAATTCGTAGAACATATAGAAAAATAATAAGCACTCTTATTTGTAATTGTTATGTTGCTGCTGCTGAGTGGTTAATAATAGTTTCCCCGTCGCCAAATTGTTATGTACTCATCACCAAATTATTGCTATGTACTGGTCGAGAATGTAATAGTCCTGACGCAAGAAGGCGGAAATCAGAAGACCACTAGGTTTGCGATGATACTTCTATTTTCCAAACACAAGGAGACGCAATAAATGGTATCACACCAAAGTGGTCAGTCACACAAATTGTGAGAGCGAAATATATATGAATGTTCCAGACAAAGTATGTGAACAAATCATTAGACAGTCTTAACATGAATGGCTAATTATAATGAAGTATCGATCCATATATACATAGCGAAATATAGCAGACATGCCAACAACCACTATATATGGATATATGTCACCAAGCAACGGACTGTCAACAAACACTCATATTATATATAATATAAGGGGAATATACATTGTTAAAGGAGGCAGGTTCATACAAGTGAAATGGTCACAGACTAAGCGAGCAAACAGAAAGAGAGACCAACATACACACACACACATATATATATATATATATAAATGGATATATATCAGTAATACTAAATAATTATAATGGAAATAAATTATTATCATTATGATCATCTCAAATCATGCGTCGGCGGCACAGAGGTGGAACGCTCACCAACCACGCCTCATGTGGTTTGGGGTTCGATCCCCAGCCGAAGCATTCCTTTAACTTGCTTAGGCAGTAATAAGACTGGTAAAGAGGGAAGGTTGGTCATGAGACTAGCAACCCCATCCCGTCAAAATAAATAGCACTGATATCGAAACTGAAACTCTCTAGCTTGAATCCTTATGTTCCACTGAAAACGTAAGGGAATAAAACAATTTAAAAAAATAATATCTTGAATCACGTTGTACTATAAACGAGGACAAAGGTAATAAGGATAAAATTATGTATGAATATTATTTAATTCAATTTTAGATTTCCCCGTCGATTGATTGGACCCAAGTGCTCGGTCTCAGGTTGACATGTCGGCTTTTGTGCATATGCTTCGACGATATCTGGGCATTTAATTATAAGTTAACTGGTGGTTGGTGACTAGCACTGGAATCTAGGTTGGGAACATCATCACTCACTGGGGAGTGCAGGTACATCCAGCTGACGAGTCCCAAATAGGACGAGATGCACATCCTGGATTCCACTGCTAGTCACCATCCACTAATTAGCTATGAATATTATTCATAATATTTTCCACTTTATTGATTAATGAACGTCTCTCCCTAACTTCAACTTATATTACACTGCCCAATCTGTTCAAACTATTGAGACCCACTCATATATGTTAGCTGTTGGCAATCTTCGTTTGATGCTAACTGTTTTGTACAATATTTAGTTCTACCAAAATCAGTTTTGTCTTAAATTTCTGCTTAATGAATTATTTTTCTTTAAATCTGGTATCTGAGGCAATAGCTTCAAATCTTTTCCATGTTTAATTAAATATATTTATTTTCCTAGGTGTCGTCTCCCGTATATAAGCTTTATCATAATTGTATTTCATACACTTTTCTACCGTCACTTACTTAAACTTTATCATCGCTGAATACTAGTACAAGAGCTTCTTGTTTCCTTACTATTATGAGTCGTTAGCTAGTTGGTTTAATTGCTAAGCTTCCATTGTCTTTCTAGACACTATCTTCAACGCTTACTTCAATGTGAATTATTCACATTTGATTGATTGGAACATAGGGCTTCAAGCTAGAGCTTTGAAGTTTCGATAACAGTGGTATTTATTTTGACGGGATGGGGTTGCTAGCCTCACGCTCAACTTTCCCTCTTTACCGGGCTTACCAGCTAAACGAGGTAAAGGTATACGTCGGCCAGGGATTCAACCTCGGTATCAACAAAGCAAGAGAAAACACAAGATAGCAATCCAACTATTCGTATCAGGCAACCAATTAGATATATCGTTGAGTCAATAAAAATCATCAGTATGTGATGGGTTAATCACTGCATCTACGACCCACTCACATTCAGTATCACAAAACACTTTACTTAAATTTTAATTCATGCTGAGGATTCCTTACCTATGTTGTGAAATGAGTACTGATGAATTTACCTTATTCGGCAATCATACATCAAAGCATAGACAACAATAAACAATAATCACTCAAAGTTTTACAGCAATACCCCAATCACGAACCTAGACTGTTGATTTTCAAAGTGTTATCAGTGTATCCACTTTTGAATGACTACTTTCAAGATAAAGGTTTAACTGTCAACATTTAATAGCTTAATAAATGTACATAAATATTTAGTCATTACTTTCATAATTCTGTGAAACTTTTCTTATTTCTTTGTGTTCCCAGTGGAACATCGGGCTTCAAGCTTCAGTCTTGAAGTCTCAGTAGCAAAGGTGTTTATTTTTTTAAGGGATGGAGTTGCTAGCCTCACGCCCAACCTTCCGTCTTTGCCGGGCTTACTTGCTAAATGAGGTAAAGGTATTCGTCGGTGGGAATCGAACCCTGAAGCACTGACGCACCTATATAACTTGTTATTTCCGTATTGTTAATGCTTATTATTACTGTTTATTCTTTTAACAGTTAGATGAGAAATTAAAACAGTTACCTGAAACTATCTCCAGCTTTGTTGAACATGCTATCACAAGAGTGGAATTAGATTGTGGATTACACCTAACAAGAATTGTACTCGGTTTTCTGACGTGTTCTAAATATCCACTATCAACAGATGAACTACATAATTTAATCGACAATTGGTTATATGAATCAATAGTGGAACAAACATTTGAAGATAGTGATATTGTTGATAATGAAGGAAAATGCACTGCTTATTTAGATCCTTGGAAAGAGTTAAAAGTGCCAAATGATGATGCATCAGTACACCTTAATGATATGATTTCAAATGAAAGTATTATACAGGAAGTAATCTCTGATCCATATTTAATCGAAAAGCTTAAATACAAATGTTTTTCGGCACAACCTCATTTACCATCGCTTGCCTTACATATTTTGCTAACTGGTCTACATCCACTACTGTCAGGTTTCAGCAGTGAAGAAAACCTTACTAATATGGATGATGATGATAATGAAGGAGGTGAAAATTCAAGGGAGACAATACCCAAACAAAATCTTAATATATGGAATCTTGGATCAAGGGCTATATCTTTCAGAAGTCGTGAAATATGTGATCTAGTCTATGATGTTTGTTTTAAACGATCGAATGATACATCAAAACATAAACAACTTGGATATCACAAGAATCTGACTAAATCTAAAATGTCAGAAAGTGACAGCAATAATAATACTAGTGTAAAGAAAGTAACACTCAATACAATACATCGTATTTTAGCCAACAGACTTTCAAATACTAAGGATATGGTTTACCACTTGGTGAGTTCATTCTTTAAATATTAAATATTTATACTTGTATTAAATGAAATGTAGAATTGTTTTTTGAATAACCTTAATTATTATGCTATTTTCCAGTGATTTTCCTGATTGCGATAGATTGGATAATGCAACAGACAGAGAGCCGGGCAGCGAGAAAACAGGCATAAAATGGACTCACACAAGAAACTTGGAGGATCTGGACTTCGCCGATCATATATGTCTGATTTACCACAAACTGGAAGATATGCAAGTGTAAAGCAATAAGCTGACAGAAGAAGCATCAAGGATAGGAAGGACTTCAGGTGAACATAGATAAAATAGAGGTGATGAAGATCCCTGGCCAACAGCCACAGCAACAACAACAACAGACAACAATCAGCCGGATAAATGGGAGGAACCTGAAAGAAACAACCTCCTTCACCTTACTACCTACCTGGGAAGCATCGTTTCAACTACAGGCGGACAGAATTGACGAGGATATCAAAGCCAGAATCGGAAAAGCAAGACAAGCTTTCATTACTCACGTCGTCTGTGTGGAGGTCAACAGCACTCACCATGAAAAATAAGACCCGGATTTTCAACTCCAATGTGAAGTCAGTGCTACTCACTATACGGATCAGAGACTTGGCGCGTCATAAAGAGCACCTCAAATAAACTACAGATCTTCATCAACAGTTGTCTTCGCTCAATACTCAAGATCAGATGGCCGGCCAGAAAAGATCAGTAACAGGGATCTCTGGGAATGAGCGAACCAACACAGCAGGAACCGATTGTGAAACAAATAGGCAGCAAGAAATGGATTGGCTGGTCATAGTCTGAGGAAACCATCAAGTGACATCACTAGACAAGCCGTGGCTCGAGTGGAACCCGACAGGGAAGCGGCGAGTTGGTTGTCAATGCAAGGGTGACTTGGAGGAGGTCATGTGAAGAGGAGTTGAGAGCATGTGGGCAGACTTGGAACGGGGTGAAGACGTTGACAGAAAATCGAAGGAAATGGAGACGCGTGGCTGAAGCCCTATGTTCCTCTAGGAATTAAGGATATAATAATAATGTATATGTATATGTATATGTATATATATATATATATATATATATATATATATATATATATATATATATTTGATTGGACACAAGTCAGTAACTAGTGTAATTTGTCTCGACCTATCTCTGGTACAGACTGAATTCTACTAGTCACGTTTGCAATGTGGTCACCATGTTAAGTGGCTCATCATCATAATGCACTGTAAATTGTTCGTATTAGATGTTTGGAGGCGATCGGCAGGAAATCTTGGACCTGGATTTCATCCTAGTTGGCACTCGTTAACAAAGGTAGAACTAGAATCATTACACTAGTTACTGATTAGTGCCCAGTCAAAAATATATCCAGTACAGTTCTACAAGAGGTCAATCGCGAGGCCGAATAGCTCAGTGGTAACGTCTCTGACTGCAGCACTGGGTGACGCGGGTTCGAATCTCAGAAGGGACATGATTTCCTTCAAGGGTGAAGATACGCCTTCTTGAAGAATGCCAACTGGCACGAAACCCAAATCCAAGACTTCCTGTGGCCGATTGTCTCCAAACATCTGATATATATGTATATATATCAAACCTCGATGATGGAGGTCCTTCAAACTATATCTTCTTTCTGTCGTATGCTACAAATCTGATTTTAATGGCTTCAATTACATTTTCTCTTACTCGCTAATTATGTACATTGTTCAATAATATTTCCCTTTCTCCTCTTCTCCACCTATTTGCGTGTTTGAGTGCTAGATTCTACACTAGTTACTAATTTAATGCGTTCAGATCGTGTCTATCAATTCCTCAACTTGCAACATCAAATTTATTTGTATATCTGTACTAGTTATTTGTGTGTTTTTATTTGATGCGTCAGTGGTTCAGCTGTAGAACGCTCTCCAACCATGCGCATAGTCAGGGAGTCGATCCCGGACCGACGCACGCCTTTACCTCGCTAAACTGGTAGTACGGCCGATAAAGAGTGTAGATTGCATGTGACGCTAGCACCCACCCCACCCGGTAAAAATAAAAACCACTACCATCGAAGCTTCAAAGCTCTAGCTTGAAACCCTATGTTCCACTCAGAACTTAAAGGAATAATAAAATAAAATGTGTGTTCTGTTTACTTTCAGTATCATGCTCAAAGGTTGGATGTAGTTGCATGCCTACTTATTAGTCCAACATTTCTTATGCATCAGTTACAATCTGGAAATGGTTTGACGTTATTAGAAGACTTTAGAAGATTTTGTAAGTCTTATCATCTGCATATGTATACTTTATGCAAATTGACCATTCTTTTATAAATGTTTTTTTATATAATTCAGAGCTCAGACTTTCTAATTACTAGAAGGTAAATAGAGTATAATTTTCTACTGTAACAACAATATCCTAATACTGAATACATGTGCACATCATTAGAAAATGAATAGCCAGTTGCTGCACAGATGGTCTATTTTGATTTCCAGGCTCCTGAGACAAAATACGGGCTATAAGATGACATCCTCAGATTTCAGTAAAAGAGAAATATATTCCACTTTGTATTGTAACAGTCAAACTGTCCATCTGTACAAGTTTTAGACTCTGGAAAAGCATAGAGCAACCGAAGTTTTCCTTATTTTACATCCACGGAAGACATAAAGACAGATAACAGACATTAGGAGAAAGAAGATTTTACTGTTTAGAGTTAGAGAACCAATTAAATTGATAGTTTATGAAAGCCTGTTTAAATCACTCAGTTACTAAGCTTTCCTTCCAGCATAACGCATAGAATTTACTCCATTTCATATTGTTTGAATCCTACAATAATGTCCTTAAATCACGGTCAGTACCGACACTTTCAACTTATTCGTATTCATTTTTTGAAATAAAATGAGAAATAACATCAAGTTAGCATTGTAGAATGTTTCATATTGAACTATTGTATTATATTCTTGAAAAGTAACACAAAATGTAATACTTTTCACGTCACGAACCAACATCAGTTAGAGAGATCACTGAAAATCAGAGAGCACTGGATAGCGGCTTCGTCCTATTTTGAACTCTTCTATGGTGCGCACCCACAACCCCACTAAGGATAGGACCCAAGACCCTCAGGTTACGATACGAACGCCTTCTTCTTAGAAGTTAGATGGTAGATAGTATAATATTGATTAGTGAACTGAAATATTTACAGTTACTGAACATTTTTCTTCAGCTTTCAGATCTCTACGGCATACGCCCTGTGTAAATTATCTTAAAATGACTCGACTGTGAAAATGGTTGATCTCTTTCTTAATTTTAGTTAAGGTTTGTGTGGATTTGAGCCAGATTTTATGAGAATAGCTGTCAGTTAAAGTAATATGCACTGGCATATGTGTAGTATCTCGTTCACACAATAACTCAATGTAATACTGGATGATTAATTTGAAATTTTTTAATTTGTTAAAAAAAACAACGTCTGATAACTCCCCTTTTTTATTCTTGTCTTCTTTTAAAACCATTTTTCTTCAGTGAAAACAGATAGAAGTCTTTCATTGCCGTCTGTAAGTAATTGTAATGATCCATCATTCACTTACATGAAGGACCGAATAGTGGATATGCAAAATTTTATTGCATCGAATTATCAATTTTTAATTGAGTAGGTTGATCAGTTTTTCATGTGTGTATGCGTGTGTCCTTTTAAATATTGTCAACTGTTTTATTTAATACTGGTTAGCTGAAAAATTAACTGCATTAGTTATGTTTTTGTTATCCTGTTATATTTGAACAATTCAGACAATGATAATCTTCTCAGCCGTCAGTTATGTTCTTCCACTGGGTGTAATCGTCGACCTGTAACTGTTTCTGCTTGGCATCCACAGCGACAAGTCTTTGCTCCTGGAAGTTTGGATTGTTTAGTTTGCCTTTGGGAGATGAGTGAATTGGGTTTTGGATCACTTTCTTATGCAAAACCATCCAGTTTGAGTAACCAACAAGAAACAAACCAAGAATCAGTCGCCCAACAAATATGCAGGAGAAAGTGGAGATGGATTGGACACTCGCTGAAGAGGCCTAGGGTGACATAGCGCTTCAGGCCCTCGAGAGGAACCCGAAAGGGAAACGGCGAGTAGGACGTCCAATGGTGACATGGAGGAGATCGTGTGGAGAGGAGTTGAAACAGTATGGACTAACATGGATGCAGGTGAAAAGTACAGCAGAAGGAAGACAGAAGCAAGTGGAGATGTGCAGTTGAAGCCCTATGTTCCACTAGGAACCAAAGGGGACAATAATAATAATCTTCTCTAAACTCAGGTTTTTTGAATTTTGACTAATTTCAAGCTGGATCTTATGACTAACCAACTTTCACTAGGAAACAATAAAAAATGGCACCTGATTCATCCTAGTTTAGAATCCATCAGCAGTGCTCATCTATTTGACTCAGAGAGGATTAGAATCCAAGACAATCGGGTTACGAAGAGAATAAATTACTACTCGACACAACTAGGTTAGAATCCAAAGGCCTATGACTTCCATTCTTTGTTGACTAGGTATATAACACTATCACCACTTAGAATCATTCTCTGAATAACTTTCAATATTATAAAATTTTGATATAGTTTTTTATTGATTTTTACATACTTCAATTATCAAATGCTTATTAGATATAATTACATTTACCAGGCATCCTTCTTCTTTTGCTGAACTGGCTATTAATCAGAACGTTAGTGATTGGATTCAAAAAGTTGGATTGACGTGTTTGTTCTATTTAGACTCTCAATCTCAAACAGCTTCTTGCATTCTACACCAAATGTTTCTCCGAATTAAACCAGATGAAAATATTCTCTATAGTCTACCAAAAGTCACTCAACCAGCTTTTATTTATAAACCGATCACACCTTTGAATGGATCACAAGATGTGCCGATTTCAGTTGAACTTAATCAAACTGGTACTTTATTAGCCTATGGCACTGAGTCAGGTACAGTCAGCGTCATCGAAGTAGAGTCTATGAAGGTATGTCTTAGTAATTTTTCTATTAATACTACTTACAGTTTAGAAAAATGTATATTCCCTTCAAAAAATTAGATTATGTTTATTTTTTTATTACTTAAATTCAATAGTTATCTCTGTTTCTTCTGCATTATTCCTTTCTTTTTTTAAAGTAGCACCAAATGAATGTTGTTTTTTTCCTTCTCAGGTGCTATGCTCATTTCATGGACACAATTTACCGGTACTCACTTTATGTTTCATTGATAATGGATACGGTTCTAATAAACCGCATGGAATTTCTACTTCACAGCTGTGGTTAGCTAGTACCTGTCAAGATGGTAGTATGATTATATGGGATATATCCAGTGTGACTACAGAAGCTCCATCTTCAACAACTCAATGTCTCAGCCGTCAGTTATGTTCTTCCACTGGGTGTCATCGCCGACCTGTAACTGTTTCTGCTTGGCATCCACAGCGACAAGTCTTAGCTACTGGAAGTTTGGATTGTTTAGTTTGCCTTTGGGAGATGAGTGAATTGGGTTTTGGATCACTTTCTTATGCGAAACCATCCAATTTGAATAAACTCACCCTAGCCAAAAAATTAAAACCAACTCTCCTATCAATGCACTTGTTTTTCGGTTATCAGACTATACATCTGACAGCGAAAATTCTGTTTCTAATGATGTGATGGCCATAGGATGTTGGGATGGTTTTGTTTATTTCTACAATCTCGTATCTAGGACAAATATAATGGTAAGTATCCCTTTTATTTAGTTAACATATTTTCGATCATCCCTAGGTAATGCTCTAATGAACTACTTTTTTTTAAATTTTATTTGACAGTCTCTCTCAGTTTCACCATTTTCCATATCTTCACTGGCTTATTCACCAAATGATACTAATATCTTGGCTATTCTCGACAAACAAGGTCAAACTCATCTTTTGGATGCCGATATGCTTGTGTCTTTTGGTACTTTAACTGAAGAAGTCAACCTGTCAACAGCTGATACTTCAACCTGTTTTGAAGAATCACTGCATTTGTCACCCGTAGAATGTGGGAAGTTATGTTTCTCTAAACCAAATGGACGCTACCTTATTCAAACTGGAAATGGTATGTCAGGCAGTCGGATCAATGTCTGGAATGCACGTCTTGGTGTCCCTAAGGGTAAGAATGATATTAATGAGGGATTGTAGATGTTTCAGTGCTCTATTGAGGCATATAGTATTTGCTCACAAAGGTGTTTCGAGTTACGCTAAGCGAAATTTGTGTATTTTTACAATGAATTTCATAGGCCGCTTGTTTTAATTGCTTAATAACTGTGGGTCGGTGGCACTGAGGTAGAATACGCGCCAACCACGCTTCATATGGCTCAGGGTTCAATCCCCAGCCGACGTATTCCTTTACCTTGCTAAGACAGTAATAAGACTGTTAAAGAGGGAAGGTTGGTCATGAGGCTAGTAACTCTATCCGGTAAATATAAATATCACTGCTATCGAAACTTCAGCTCTCTAGCCTGAAGCCCTATGTTCCACCAGGAACGTAAAGGGTTATATATATATATATATATATAATAAATCCTTTTATGGTTTGTCAAAGAAAATTACCTTGAAGAATAATGTGTCTACCTTCTCCCTCTTTTGTATTTTTAGCTACAAATTTTTTCTCTTAGTGTCCCAGTTTTTTTCAGAAATAAACATTTGTTTCGTTTATTCTGGGGTGAACAGTGTTTGTCTCACATCATAAAAGGCTGTCGGTTCTGTACTGTTGCACTGAATATGTGTATTACAAATTGACACATTATGAAAGAAGAACATTTACCATAACCTAACTTAAAGAGATCTATCACGCCGACCAATTATGTTAGCCACTGCTTACAGCTGTAACAATTATATCGGTTAAAGAACTTCCAGATTTTATACATTTGGTTCCCTTGATAAATTTCAATAGAGAAAGAAAGACCAGATTTGCAGTATCAAGTGATATCATTCTATTTATCAGGTTCTCATCAGCTGCACGCAATTACCTGAAATTACAATGGTCATAAATAATGATATTTTATACTTCAATGTTTGAAAGGTAACACAGAAAACGTTATAAGATGAGAGCATCCGGAATATAAGCACTACAATTTTTGGTTTAGGTCACCATCAATTTATATGCTTTTTCAAAGTGTGAAAATAAAGGAGGGGTGAGAGAAGACAGAAAACAGAAAAATCTAATAAAGAGTGTTAGCTTGTAGGTCGACATGGCAACTCAAGAAGGTTAACCTTCTTGAAATACTTTTATTATAACACTAATATTCTGGATGCGTTCATCTTATAATGTTTTCTCTGTTACCTTTCAAACACTGAAGTAAAAAATATCATTATTTACAACCATTTTAATTTCAGGTAGTTTGCAGTTTGCTGATGAGAACCTGTGAAATAGAACGATGATCTCATTTTATACTGCAAATCTGGTCTTTCTTTCTCTGTCGAAAGTCTAGATTACTGTCAACTTTCTCAGAGTATCTTGTTGATTGCACATACGATTGTCTGCCAATAGAGTAGCTATAATACCTTATATTCCGCTCCTCCCTACTCTGTATTTGTTAGATATGGACACTGAAACTTTAAAATATGATGATGACAGAGATATTTATTCCTAAGAGTCTTCAAAGCACTACCTGTTAGTTAAAATGAAATGAAAGTAAAATATATCCAAAATGAAATACCATACCTATCACTGAAGTCATAAACTCATATTATAGGTTGAGTAGTTAATTATTGAACACTTGAAGTGGATCAAAACTATGCTAAAGATCAATGAATAAAATGCCCAAGATATGTGATAATCCATTTGCTTTCACTTCAGCTTTCAGTAAATTCTGAACATCGTGATTGTCTGTGTCTACCAAATCTTCATTTGGCCCTTTCCACCTTTGGATTTTAACATGATTTCACTTTTTATAAGCTAATAGTAAGTTTGGTAGCTTAAAACTGCTTTGACTTTCACGCCATAAGTGGAAATTTTACTACCCTTTTTGTGTAACTATGGTAACCATACATTTATATACTTTGTGTCATGAAACTTCCATGTTTTTGTTTACCCCTTTAGGTCCGTGGATTGATTTAAACAGACTTGAAAGAGAAGGCGAAAGGTCCATAGTTGTGACAACGTATGCACTTGATGTGAATGGACACCATATTATAAATGGATGGAATGACGGTATCTTTACTGTTGTTTCAATTGAGTCTGGTGACACTTTATTCATTTCTGATAATCTAGTCCCCTTGATAAATGATAAGTCATCAATTGAGGCCATTGCCTGTAGTCATTCACCTTTTCGCCACAATGCAAGCCTTCTGATTGTTGGGTGGTCTTCTGGAGCAGTTAGAGTAAGCTTTATTTATCCCCCTTATCTATGTGAATATTCTTAGTCTATTTTACATTATTTGCTCTTGTTATCTATCAACCGTTATTAGCTATCTGGATGTGCTAAACACATTGTGATTTACTGAAAATAATTTTTTTATTATTGATCCGTTTATTGATTAAACCTGCGTACAATTTACAGGTAAGAGATAAACCATGTACTGTTTAAAACAAGCACTTTAGACATGTTTTGTTATTCTTCAGTTTGATTACTTATATTTATTTATCGTATTACTATTGTATATACTTCTACTTTAATTAAATGTATTGAAAATATGATTACACTATCAGTTCATTTGATATGGAACACGGTGATACAATTCTGTTATATATACTATGCTTCTAACACAAACTGTAGTCTAGAATCACATCAAGATGACTGAGGTTCGGACTTAAGTATACTGATTATTTAGTTTGTTTATTTATGGATCAAGTGTTCTGAATGCTTACTACAAGTAGATCAACATAGATTAGTTTTTTTGATGGAACACTAGTAATTGGTGTGATGTGTCTAGTCCCTTCTTTGGTACAGACTGAATTCTGTCAGTCAGCTTTGCGATTTGGCCACCATTCTAGGTAGCTCGCCATCACGATGCACATGGATTTGATGATATTAGATGGTGGCCACATTACAAACTTGACTGATAGAATTCAGTTTGCACCAAAGAAAGGACTAGACACATCACACTAGTTACTAGTGTCCAATCAAAATATCTACTGCAGCCCTACATGAAGTCAATCGTGAACTCGAATAGCTCAGTGGTAGCGTCTCTGACTGCAGCACGGGATGACGCGGGTTCGAATCTCAGAAGGGACATGAGTTTCTTCAAGGTTGCAGATACGCCTTGCTGATGAATGCCAACTAGCACGAGACCTAGGTCCAAGGCTTCCTGTGGTCGATTGCCTCCAACCATCTAATAGCATAGACTAACATTTTGCCAACCCTATTTCCTAAATTTTGGCTGGGATGCAGTGATTTATACGTCTGACTTTCAACCACTGAATGATGTATTCGAACGCCAATCTACAAAAATTTATTTAGTAAAATGATAAGATTTATCTTAAAATGCTGTGGCGCAAACTTTATTAAGCTAATTTAAAGTTTACTCAGTGATTTCCATTATTATTACTTCTATTAACATCATCATCATCATCGTTATCGGTATCATTATCACTTTTTACATTAACAAAACAGAAAGTATACTTACTTTATTTTACATGAAGTTTGCTTCAACTGTTAGAATTTCTTTTGCAGTACAGGTTCAGTCTCTCTCTATCTCTCTCTCTCTCCCGTTAATTTTATACTCTTCAATCTACATCACATAGAATACAAAATCTGTATGTTGGTGATTAACATTTCTTAATTTTCGATAACCTGATGCTGCCTTCTGTCTGAAACATTCCTTTAGTAATGCGGACCACTTTGTACTGTGATTTCTCTATATGCCAAGTTTGTTTGTGTGGTTTGGTATATTTCACAACAAAGCAGTGTCATCTGCTTTATAACATTGTTTATAGTGATATTGAGGTAGCTATGTGATATATCTAACAGAATAATCAATACGGAGTTACATTCCACCATAATTCCTTGATTCTGGTCTTGTATTTCACAACACAGTTACATGGTTAGTTTTTTTTTTTAAAGCATCACATGGAAAACATCCTCCTCTAAACAGTTTTATCCTTTAAGTTAAGTTAATTTGCCTCTCAGTTCTCACTGTATTTATCTTCCTGACCAAATACTTGGAAATGAAGCTTTTACTTCAGTTTTCTCCTTAGTGAAAACTTAGATTGTAAATGCTTTTCATTATGTTCTTATTATCAATGAGTGAACTGTTATCCTGATATGATAGAGAAAGCAACTTTAAACTTCATTCTGTACATGAACAGTTTCGCATGTAGTCTGTAGTTCATTTCTGTTTTTCTTTGTTTAGTTTTTCAAAGAATTTAGCCTGAATCACAAGACAGAATGAATAGCATCCATGAGAAACATGAGTGATAATCATTCAATAGTTTTAGTTGATTTAAAGTTATTAACCAGTTAATGAGAAATACCACTGCTCAATAATCTCTTTCTGGACATGTTTAGTCTTTATTTGTATAATGTGTCGAAGAATTGACATGAGTTTCATAAAATTCAACTTTTAGAAGATTTTCCTGATAAGTTTAAATTCTCAGTCCTAAAGTTAGTAGCTCACAATTCCGATCTTTCATTAAAACAACGCTATTACGAAAACCACCTGTTTAATTCTCTATACCAACGTTTTTACACA